AGCGTAAATATATGAAATTGACAATATCATAAATATTCGTATACAAGTTGCTTGATCAAATACCGATCTTTGACATTTTGATAACAAAATATTTACATATTTAATGAACTTTAGTTATAAAGCGCTAATACACAGATGAATACCAAGACAAAGAATAAAAAATTTTGTCGCTGTATGACAATTTGATATCGTATTCAGACACTGACTTTCTCATTCTATTCTGAGAGAGAGAGAATGTGTGCGCGCGCGCGCAAGGATTCTTTTATAGTAGGTGTCTGACTTGGTGATAAATTCGAACATAAATGGACAGCACACAATCCACTTGTTTTAAAACAATATATTCAAAACAAGTCAAATGTATGTACAACAATTCTTTACACTGTAGGATATCACAGTTGTATCTAAAACTCTAAATAATAATATTTTCTTGTCAAAATTCCACACAGACTAGTTCAGTTACTTAAGAACCCAACTGACAAGATGAATTATTTTTCTGTACCGTTTCTTACTACACAATCTGTGATAAATTTACTTGCGTTACCCTGTGGGTTACCACAGTTGTACCCAGAACTTTAAATTATTGGCTCCTTTTCGTCAACGTCCACACATGTGGGTTCAATTACCTCAGAACACCCTTTGACAAGACGAATTCTTCTTCTTTATCTCTGTTATTACAATACTCACTTTAGATATCGCCCGTTACGGCTAAACTAACAATCACTTCACTTTCTCGGCACATACCTAGTCTGTTACTTCATTTTAAGCGATGCAATAGATACTTTACTTTAATGAAAAACTGCTTTATAAACGTGAACATCTTTTTATTAGGACATTTCTTTTTTCTGTAAAGAAACGTATCCCGAGCACTTTGGCAACTAGTCCAGTTTTTGAGCTTATTCATACTATTTCGCAGCTAATAATATTATTTACGTGTGCAAGACAACACAGCCATAATAACGTTTACCTCCTAAACATGAAAACTCAGTTCGTGACAAGAAAGATTCTCGAGACTATGCAGCATGAATACACAAAATCTCTGAAGTAATATTATGGAATTTTCGGCTAGCTTTATTAAAACAGATTTGTTATGGAAAGTATTTGGAATATTAAAGAAAATGTATTAGAATTTCCACATCTTACCGTGTAATTTGAACAGTATTACAGAAGTTATGTAATTGTTTTAAGAATAAAATTCTTGACTAACGTTATAATCTGCGTAACCACAAAAATGTAAAGAGAGAACCAATAATTCAGTCAACAAATACATTCAAAAGCACTGAAAACTCAGAGTTTTGTAGTTGAAGATCAAGATTCTAAAAACGTATTTTTAGTATTGAGATAAAAAGAGAGTTCTAAAACCATTTATAAATTTCTAAAACTAAAACGACAAAAGAAAAACGAGTTCTTGGGTTACATGGGAATACGATTTAAAGCTCCATCTATAATTTTTGTCAGCTACATAGAGCTAATGAGTAACAAATATATTAAAACAATAACAATTTTAACGTTTATTCTTAAGAAGGTTTAGGCGTGACCAATACTAAAACTTAGCAAGGTCAGGATTTGTGACTTTTAGATGTGTATTTTTCCTTTTAGCCGCGGCATAGCGGCTGGTAGAATGGCTACGAATTTATCAAGTACAAACTTTTAGCCCATAGCTCCCGTCATCTCTTGGCCAATTTGAGCTCTAATTATAGTTTTGGACTCAGGAGATCAAACCCTATCGTTTGATTATCTGACCATGCTTAAGGTCTCAGGTTAATTTATTCTAATCCTGCCTAAAATAATTTCAATTTGAGGATAGGCTGGTACAGACCCCGATGAGTAATAAAATCCTATTGGGTATACTCTCGCCCCATGCATGCTATTGCTGGGGCACAAAAACATAGCCAATAAAAAGGAAAAACAAAAGGTCTCAAATTAATTTACACTAACCCTGGCTAAAAGGATTTCTAGTACCGCAGCTATTGAGGATTCCCTCTTATTTGTCCTTCAAATTTAAGTAGGTTACATTCGTTTTTCGAAATTCTTTATAAATGACCGAACATTGATAGCGCTAGAAATTTTCTATGTCACGAAGTTTCGGTAATTATTTTGGGTTAAAATGCTCTATTTTTTTTGGGGGGGGGGGGGGAAGAGATACAATAAAACATAGTGTTTTTATTAGGTGGCATACGAACAGAAGCCTTTAGCAAAACAAAATTTTTCTTCAATACAAATATACTAATTCACACTGGTAAATCTAGAAAAAAAAAGGGATTTTTAAGTTATGATCAACAGATAAAAATATTGTTAAAGTTTGATATTTTTGCAGAAACGAACTGCGTCCGCTTTCCACAATAACGCACTAACGTTAGATGTTGGAAATGTTTATGTATATAAATTAGGGATGCGTTAATGTTTTCCTATACATCTTTTTAATGAGGCAAGCTAGCGAAAAACCACATAGAAAATAAGGGGTTTCTTATATATGCCTAATACTTGTTGTAGGTAAAATAATATAAAACACAAATTGTTTCACTTTACTAAGAAACATTTACACACAAAGCAGCATTTTATTTTCAGAATGGCGGTAACGGGGATTTAAGGAATCGGATTTCATAATCACGTGATCGTAATATGCTGTTAAGATGAATATATTGAAAAGCAATATTCACTTGTTTCAAATTCAATTTTGTCTTAGTAATGGAAAAGGACCACACGGAAACCAATTTGTTTTTATCGCAAGTTTTATAGAAAGATACCTCCCGGAAATGTCATATACAAGCCGAGGGGTGGTCCAGTGCGTTAAAATTGCCATATTTGCTTTAAGTATTTGATTCATGGCAAATTCGCGACCATTCGACACAACAATGTCGTCAAAGATAGATATATATGGGTTGAGAAATGCCCGAGAAAAGACATTTGAATAGCAACATTTCAAATAAGCCTTCATTCTTCTCCATAGAAATGGAAAAACTTGTCCAGCGAAGAGATTACGACAGTAATGGACTTTCAATTGATTGATTGGGAAGGATGATTTCAGAGCAACGCCTTATCCACGAATGGTTAAGAAAACCCCATGTGCCACCGACCACGAAAGCTATTGAAATGAAGCTCCTCGTGTCGTTATTTAAAAGAAATGATTTAATGATTCACGAGCTCCCAACCCACCTGGAAACTAACAGCAGTTTTCACGAGAAAGATGGCCGAAGAAAATGGAATTACAACAATCCCATTCGATTACAAACTCGTCTGTTCCCCAGAATGAAGTGCGATTGACTTTATGCTTTTCAGTATTAAGCTTCTACCATAGAGAGCTGGGTTCAATGGTACATGCTTTTAACAAAAACAAATATTACATAATTGTTTATAGTAATTTTATTATAAAATCATCTTATCTCCACGAGCATTTGATAAATAGCATAACACGCGTTTTAAAAACAAAGGTGGTAAAATAAATACATTTTGAGAACTGATTGATTAGAACTGCGTTATTTCCAAGCTATTGATAGCATTACTTATTTCAACGAGACATATTCACCTACAGCTTAAAGCCGAAAAATAATCTAACAGGTGGTTACAAAACATTTGCAAGACAAAAATATTTTTCCTTCGCATTTTGTTTACACGATCAATTTTTGTTAACTAAGAACATGCATCACCAACAAGAACGTTTCGAGTCTGCACAAGTAAAAACAATGTCCCTGTTGAAAAGTGGTTTCCTTTCTAAAGTTATTGCTTCTGTGAGTTTGCTTCATTATACGAACAGGCATATCCCAACATAACTATCTCCTATTGCCTAGCAAATTAGACTTTTCTCTTAGCCTGCAACGTAATTAAATATCCAACATTTTTTACAATATAGAAGTTGATTTGCTATTTATACAGTTCTTCGAATATTTTAGTAAAATAAAACCTTATATTTGTCAAATACGTATATTGCTTTTTTCGGAACGCGCTTATCAACAGTATGCGAGTACACGTTATGTGGGATGAACAGAGAGTTATATGTGGTAGAAAGGGAATAGAACCTGGTTGAAAACAAACGTACATATTTCTTATTTATTTATTTATTATAATGGAGATTTATCTTATTGGTTATCCTCCTAAATTCAAAATCATGCTTCATAAAATTTATGATGATAATATTATTAATCTAAAACAGTATATACGCACCAAACAATGACATGCTGGTAAGATGTGTACACATTCTTGTATTGTCGGTAAAATAATCATGAAATAGTTCATAAAATATAATTTTAGTAGTTGAAGAAAATAGTAATAATAATTCTTAAATTCTATTCTTGAAATATATTCTGAAGTTTGTACTAAAAGACCAATATTTTATTCACTAAACCATGCGTGTCTTGTTTAACATGTCCATTTAGGGGTGGGGGGAATTAACTACTCATGTCATGTTAAAATGTAATGCAATATAAACGATACGAGTTCAAACTCTTACCACAGCACTTGGATGTTTAGAGAAAAGTGAAAAGGTTCTTCTCAAATACTTATGGTGTTTAAAAATAATTTATTTTACATATTAATCTAAAGATGAGTTTCTGGTGGTTCCAAACACTTTAGATTTGTACGAAAACGGTTTTTAATAGAGTATTTTAAGTCGTCTAGAAGGCTGAAGTTCGATAGGGTGTCCTTATTGATTTTGTTGAAGGGAAGGAAAAATGGTTTTTACTTTACTTCCTTCCTAGGCATTTATTAATGTTCAAGGTAAGGTCATGTAATATTTGAAAACAGAAATTATGCTTCTTGATAAATGATGAAAACGTTTCACCATTAAACCACTTTTTTTTTGTAAGAAAAAAATTAAGCAATCCTTCAGATGTGTAACAATAATTTTTATGGAACTTGATCTAAATTTGTGATTAACGTTGTGTTACTAATAAAATATAAAGGTTCTTGTGAAATAAGGGTTATTTAGATTAATGTAGAAAATTTAAGTATAACACATACGCCTATTAGCGCAAAATATGTTAAGAAAAGACTAGGAACCTACTTACAGTATTACTTTGGTGTGAAAAATCTTGAAAGAGAAAGGTTTGTTGTGTTAGAGCAAATCCACACTGTGCTGTCTGCAGGAAATCGAATCTCGTTATAAGTCTAAACTAACTGCTGTCCCGCCAAGGTACAAAATAGAAAGGAGAAGAAATGTTTTTATACACTCCTCATAAGGTATTTCTGATAAGTTGAAATGTAACTTAGAACTTTAATTAGCTTAGCCATACCATTTCATGCCTTTAGTACTTCAAAATACCTTAAGAATATGATTACAACTAATTATTACAGATTCGCAGATTCATTTCGAGTTTATCAAACAAAGGAAATATTGTCTAAACAATGTCAGTGCAAACTTATCGGTCCACAATATAAAATAATTTACACGTATGCTGGAAAGTACGAATAAACTTTTTCATAGATTTAGTCCTAAATTCCACATACTTTTAAGTGCGAAAAGTTTGATATTTGAATTTAATTAATTTAATTTTACTTTTGCTATCATAATTAGCTGCTTAAAACAAAGCGAGTCCAGCACAAGTTGTATATGCTAAAGAAAGACTAATTCGCAGCATTGTTTTCTGTTTCAGGGTAAGCAGGAATACAAGTTTAAGATTTCAAATGCACGCAGTCATATTTGTAAGAAGTTAAATCTAATTTTCACATACGTTTAAAATAAAACTGGTATTTTCATTTACTTTGCAGCCAATGAGAGAAATGTGAAAAGTTTTCCAAAAGAAATTTATACTACATGATGAGTTAAACTACTGGCAGACAAACGAGAAGCGATATAGTAACATTTAAACTTTAAAAAAATTGTTTGCTTGTTTCCGAAATATATTAAAATATCAGTAACTTTGTCCCATTCTCACATGCTTGGTATTTTATTTCTGATTATTGGCATCATGCATGTTACGAAGATAACACAATCATATATTTCTGGTTACTTCCAGCCTTAAGCTGGTCTTAGTCTTCTCGCTGGATTGTTGGAACTTAGTGGCCATCTTACAATGTGGATGTCGGACCAATGACCTGAAAGGGTCCTCTTGTTGGCCACTAAGTTCCAACAATCCAGCGAGAAGACTAAGACCAGCTTAAGGCTGGAAGTAACCAGAAATACATGATTGTACTGCATCTTACAATGTGGATGTCGGACCAATGACCTGAAAGGGTCCTCTTGCTAGTCCTGTATTTATAGGTTGCTGGTGCTTTGGCCGTTTAGCAGAGTTTTCCCATTCTTAATGGTGTGCAATCGTATCTGTTGGAGTAGCTAAGCTTGTGTATATGGTATTAACGAGACAAATTACTAAATTAGTGTTTTGGATTACATGGTTTCTGCCTTCTTGTCTCTTAACCATCCAACACCTTTAATCATTTTATCTATCATTTCAACCTTGATTTTACCTGCACAACGCTCAATCCTTTCTTTTTGACAGTTGTGGCCTTTGTTACTTACCAGCTAAAACGTTTCAAATCTCTTGTTGTGGAAGTGTTTCACTGAATTCATCTTCAACCAAGACAACCATTAAACACGTGCATCTGTTCTTCAACCTAAACTACTATAAATAAACATTTATCGGCAATAATTGACCAATGTGGCACTGTTTCTTTGTGCTTATCAAGTAAATGACGTTTCGGCAAGTGTTGTATAGCATAGAGAAAAGTTAACTCAATCTTGTAGAAAGCAGACATATTTTATCTACTCTCTTAATTAAAATACAACAATGATTTTGTCTCTTTCGTTAACATATCGCTAACAAAAGATTCGGGATTAAACGAACCACACTGTTTTGTGCGTTAAACTCCGGTTTGAGTCTATCACTTAACATTTCCTTTAATCGCAATTCATGTTCACTGTTGGCCTTAAACTTAGGTTGATTACATTGTTTTGTGCGTTAAACTCCGGTTTGAGTCTATTACTTAACATTTCCTTTAATCGCAATTCATGTTCACTGTTGGCCTTAAACTTAGGTTGATTACATTGTTTTGTGCGTTAAACTCCGGTTTGAGTCTATTACTTAACATTTCCTTTAATCGCATTTCATGTTCACTGTTGGCCTTAAACTTAGGTTGATTACATTGTTTTGTGCGTTAAACTCCGGTTTGAGTCTATTACTTAACATTTCCTTTAATCGCAATTCATGTTCACTGTTGGCCTTAAACAGGACTTAAAATTGTTCTCTACACTTAGGTTGATTACATTGATTCAGCATGCGTGTTTTAATACTTGCATATTCTTTGTATGCGTGCAGTTAACCACCTAGTGGTGGAACCAATACCGCCTAAAAAACATGGACATTTATATTCACATACCACAGTGGAAGTTTTGAAGATAGGTATACTAATCTTAAACATAAAAAATTATATTGTAATTTAGACTTACTCGCCCGAGTTGTCTATGTTTTTGCGACGAAACAATAAGTCTGAAACACTGAACCTCAAAATTAAAAATTACACTATTCCATACGCCATTCTCACATAACATACATCTTGCAATAACATTTAAAAACAACTTGTAGCAGTACTGCACTACTGAACATGCGCACAAAATTTACACGAAATGACTTGATGGAATTAATTACGAAGTTGGTCGTAAATAGAAAACAGAATTGTTTTTGACAAGCAAAATGTCGATGTTTGAAGCAGTTATGCATAACCTACAGGGCAACAGAAGAATAGTTAGAAGCATTACAGTTGCTTTATAATACAACATACTTTGTTATTTTCCGTCCCCTAATAATGTAAGATAGTTATGTTTTGTGCCGCTTACCAATAATATAAAAACGTCACCCTTTCCACAAGCTGTCGGAAAACATCTGTCCGAAACATAAATCATTGCTACTGGTATCATTAATATACAATAGTTTCACTTTATCGTTGTTTAGAAAAAAAAATTAATATAACGATAAATAGGACTTAGATTTCCAAGAATTTAAAAGATATAACACCAAAGTTAAATTTGAAAATATCCGTCTCAGTTTATCATCTTAGATAGTACTTACAACTTCAAATTTAACTTTTCTTTTTTTAAGTAAAACAAAAACTGGAAACATATAGAGCAATAAAATAACAAAATATTTCATCGTTGGAAAAGCAAGTTAGAAAATTAGACTATAATCAACTGTTTAACTGGATTAATACAAAATATATTTTGGTAAAATTAAAAAGCAAACAGATTAACAATAGTGAAAAAAGATTGTTACAGATGATCTTAATAAAATGAACTTCAATATTTTCCAATTACGGTGTGACTTAGAAAAGCGACTGTTAGTCAGTAGTTTAAAATTTTAAATTCCACCAATAAAGGTTCCAATCTGAGTATTGTTTATTGAATTTTGAAAAGTTCCTGCATTGACTATCTAAGCACACCATCTGGCGGGAAAGCAATAAATCCTTTAACAACATAAGAATTCAAGTAAGTGGCATTGCTTCAAGATCTTTTATTGATCCCAATTGTGGTATAAAACCAATATGAATAAATTTTTAATTGCCTGAAATTCCTTAAATAATAATGAAAATAGTTATTATAAAACCTGTTAAAAATGATGTAGTTAAATTAAATAGATTGTTAAATATTAAAGAAATATTAAATAATAATAAATTTGCGAAACTACAAAAAGATGCAACTAAAACTAGAGAAGATAAATTACAAAACTATTTATTAAAACTGAAAAAGGATAATTAATTGGCTGATAAAAGAATATCAAATAAAACCAGTTGTTTCTCATTCTGTGTCACGTATTGAGTTCATAAGATGGATGTCTAATTAAACCGATAGTGTCTGGGATATGTATATACAATCATGAGATCATAGAACTTCTAGTTCTCTTGTTAAGACCATTAATTAGAAACGAACATGCAACTAAAAACAGTTTTTTAGTTCTCTCAAAAAAGGTATTTTAATTTCAGTAATGAAGTACTCTTATCCTAGTATTCCTTTGGATGAAACCAGTATATGTACAGAAGTTTGTATCAAAATAAGAACAACGAAACAAGTTTGTGTTTTGTCGTTTAAGTACGTGTTACAGAAACTCATGTTTTAACAAAAATTGCATATTTTTCATATTTATTACCAGGTTGATGTGGTTACTAAGAGATTAGATTAGTCCCATAACTCGCTAATTTGTTCCTATGTCACCATGAAAAAATGCTGACTTCAAGAATGTTCTAATTTTAAATCATTATATCGAAACCCGGTTTTTAGCCTTATAAGTCCGCAGACATTCCGCTGTGCCACTGGGGGGCTCTCATTTATTCTCACTAAAAATGATAAATTTGAATGTAAAATTTCTATAAAACTTTCACTGGTTTGTATTTTAATTTCGATAGTTATATACCATTGTCTTTTTAAAAAAAATCTGGTTAAAATACGGATTCGTTGGGCATACGAGTGAAATAGTATTTTTTTTTTCACGGAGATAAATATTATGACGTTTATATATATATTAAGTATATTTTAATATGCATTATAAATCAGTTAATTCACAACGACTTAAACAAAAGTACTTCTATACCACCCAACTGGAATGTAGCTAAATAAAATTATTTAGTCCGTTTCCTTGTATACGGAAAGAGTATACTGATTACGAACCAGGTACGTAAGTTGTCATCGAACTTACCCTCAAGTGGAATTAAGATGCTATCTTACGTTTGCATGCAGATTATAGTTTTTCAGATCTAGTGATAATTACCTACGTTCCCAGCTTCCAATATGTTATAGAATATGTTATAGGAATACAAGTATCCTAAATGTATTTCAGGTTATTTTGGTTCCATTACTAGGTGGTCAACTGTTCTCACAAAAGAACATGCAAATTGAAAATCCACGTCATTTTCAAGAGGTACGCACGTATAAGGACAACAGTTAACGAAAACTGTGAATAATTAAGTCTTAATTAATAAATTTAAACTGACTTGAAGTCTAACCATAAAAAGTCGAATATCCTGCTACTGACATATGCTAAAATACATCTCCGGCAATGTTGATGATCGCACCCACCATCAACGGAATAATAATTTCTCAGCCCTGTTTATGTACTTGTTAACAGCAGAAAAAAAAATCAAAAAGTCTAGTCATACATGTTTTTTTATCTAATGGAATTATCAGAACAAAACAT